CGAGTAACTTTACAGTTTATCAGAACCATATCAAAATGGCTGTTTGAGAGAGAATTAATCTTTGAAATTTTAATAGATCTTGTGAGCTTATTTATATTCAAATAGACTTAGTTTTACCGTTTTGTATGTCCTTACTAGATAGATAAACTCAATAATATTGATTCACTATTGATGAATGATTATGCAAACGAAAATATATCAATACATCACCAATATTTATTGACTATGTTATAATATCGTGTAAATTATCATATATCGGTAAATATATTTTCAACGTTGGTGAAGACGAAATTTATTCGATTTTACATAAATAAAATTGTATACTTTGGGTTTTAAATGAAAAAAATTCAGAAATATTATTTCTTTTTCGTCACGCCACTCGTAAACGATGAGCATTCAGAGTTCTTTGATAAATGAGATAAAGTTCATCTAATTAACGAGTGAAAAAAAACATTCGTTTACTCTCATGAATATTATAGAAAAAAACGTAAAAAAATAACATCTTTGATGGTCAAATCGACACAAAAATTTGCTGTATTGCATCTTAATTAAATAAAAGAAACGTTTTTTTATTGCCTTACACATAAAAGATTTGCTTTTATTTTCAAAATTATAAAAATAACTTCATGCAAATTTCGATTTTATTCAGTAATATTGAAGTGAATTAATTTCTCTCTTTGTTTCATTATTTTAATGACATTTTTTGGTTTTAACATTTGAAAACCATACTGATATTTAAGCATGCACTTAATGAAGTAAAAAAAAAAGCCCTGATCCAGAATTAGTAATAAGAATCACGACTCGGGCTGGAAAAAAAAGATGGAAAAATCAGATAAAAATTGATAATTTTTTTCTTGAAAAAAAAAGATTAAAATGCCTCTATTTGAACTTTAATGGAATCTGATGTTTTCCCGTTAATTTTTTTATTTCGTCTTATACTAAAATTTCTTATTATCATTATAATAGACTACTGCAATTTTAAAAATTTTAATCGATTAATAAAATTCAATCGATTGGATGAATAAAAAAGTCTTCAAATTAGAGAACAAAACGAGATTATGAGTAAAAACTTAATTCTATTAAGATAGTGATGTCATTTCAATAAATTTGTTTTTCAAAAAATAATCGACTTTAATCTTATTTTTTTCATGTTTCTACACGGAATGTGATAGAAATATAATAACGAAAACGAAATGTATTTAGTTCTTTTATTGTAATCTTATTGATCGTGAAAAACTAATTTTGTTCACGGTTTTAAGTTTCTTTTTTTATCTTTTCGTGACACTAACTGTATTGATTGACCATGTATGGTCAACTAATTACAGCAATAGAAATATATGGAAAAGAGAATTTGTAACGTTACTTTAATCAGCAATAGAGAAAGAATGAGTATCATGAACTCAGTAGGATCACAAGATGTTGAATTCAAGATTTCGTTTATCTAATGCAGTCGAACATAAGAAATTAGGCAATACTTAGAAATATATTTCTATCGCAGTGATTTTTTTTCATGCATTTTCATTAGAATATTCATTTCTCATGCATATACGATAGTTTAAGGCAACCTCTGATAACACATTTCAGTTATTTCTAAACGTAATTTGATGGAAATTTTTGAACAAAATCATCACAATTAATAGTCAAAAATTAATCTAGTATTTCAAAGTTCCAGGGCACAAACATCCTTTACTGTCCTGTTCTGTGGACATCTTTGCTCAGGAATACTTATTCCATGGTCTAGAATAATTTTTCTTTTCTTTTTTAAACAACTAATAATTTTCTTTCACATGAGTAAATAAATTGTTACCAAGGAATGATTATATTAAGATAATAGATAATTTAAAATTTAATAGAAACTGTAATGTGAACTAATATCCGATTACATCAACTTTGGTATAGTTTTCAGAAAAAATAAAAAAATGAAACAATATCAGTCAAATAATGAAACGAAGAGTAAATGTTTATTTCAACATTAATGTAAAAAATGGAGATTTTTATGAATTTACTTCTATAATTTTGAAAGAAAAGTAAATTGATTACATCTGCCAGACTAAATTGTTTTTTTTATTCAAGTGAAACCAAATACAGCAATTTGTGTATTGAGTTGGTCTTCGAAAGCGTTATTTTTTTTCATGTTTTTGCTATAAAATTCATGAAAGTACACAAATTGTTTTCTAATTTTTTAACTAGATGCGTTTTATCTCATTTACCAAAACATTCTAAATGTTCATCGCTTGCGAGTGGTCTGACGTAGAATGAATTATATTGCTGAATTTTTTATTTAAAACTGAAAGTAAATGATTTTACTTATGTAAAATCAAATGAATTTCGTGTCCATCAACGTTCAAAATGAATTCACTGATATATGATAATTTTTTCAAGGTATTATAATACATTCAGTATATATTGATGAAGCATTTACATATATTTTGCTGTCATAGTCATTCATAAATAGTGAATCAGTTATATATACTTTATTTATGTGGCAAAAACACACAAAATGATAAAATAGAGCCTATTCGAGCATAATCGTGTTGAAAAGTTGTATTAAAATTTCAAAGATTAATTCTCTCTCAAACAGCCATTTTGATATGGTTCTGATAAACTGTAAAGTTACTCGGTTTATTTCGAGCCGATGGATATTAACGTGTCATTAGTCAATGAACATTTTTTGTGACGGAATCACAAAGAAATCTTTTAGTTTAGATATAGAAAATGTTCATTTACCAAAACAAATTTTTTTTCTATGTATTTTACATAGATTGTTCTTATTAGGAACATTTTTTTGCTGATTGTTCGTATTAGGAACAGTGTTCCTAATAAGAACAGGCGATGAATTTTTAAAAGTGTAATAACTTAGTTATTACAAATTGAAAAAATCTGAACCTTTGGATTTAATGGTATCAATTGATAAGGAACATTTTTTGTTCCAGAAGTATATCGAAATTTTTTATTCTAAGAATAAAAAAGTCGATTTATTAAAAATATTTAAATTTCTATGTATTTTACATAGAGTGTTCTTATTAGGAACACTTTTTTTGCTTGCTGTTCTTATTAGGAACAGCGCTCCTAATAAGAACAAATTCAAATATTCACAAACTACCGCTAATTACTCGATTAGTTCTCGAGATAATTAGTTGATTTTTGCACCATTCGATGCAGCAGACATTTCTGCACTCAGGTATATAAAAAGGTTTTTTTTAATGATAAAAAATGCCTTAGTTATAAAGGAAATACAGACAGCTCCCGAAAAGCTGTTCTTATTAGGAACATCGACTGTATATGTGGCAGTCCAATTTGATTTCAATGTGCTTTTTTGTTTTATCATCTACTAGTTGGGATTTTTAAATAAAAGCCCTTTGATTGATTATTTATGATGTTTTACTTTTTAATTTAGGACAGCAGTCTTATATTATCGTAGTGCTCTTAAAAGCATTAGCAATTTATTTTTTTACACAATGTGATCATGAATCAAAGAGGAATAAAATAATCATATAACTTACATTCGTTGTATATAACATTAAAGCAATCGTTTTAATAAGAGTTCAAAAATTGTTTATGGAGAGATCATTTTTTTAAAGTCAAGTATTCAATAGTTAAATGAACTAATATTGGCGGTTTTTTAAGAAAATTATATTAGCGTTATAGCGCATATTATTGAAGATTGCAGGATTTAATAAAAAAGTAAAAAGAAAGACTCGAGCGTATATAAGGATTATGAACAAACTAGTTTATTAAATAATCAAATTGAATATTTATGTGAAAATTTGTTTTTTTTCTCTCTTTACAAATATTTATATCAAGAAAGTCATGAGCTACGATTTTTGTTTATAGTTTTTTGTATCATTCCATGTTAAAAAAGTATTATCACATTCTGGATCTTTGCATCGAATAGCATAAGTATTATTTGAAATATCTATAATAATCGCTGTACAATTTCGTTTATGATGCGCTGCTATCTTTGGACAAAATCGGTAATTACCGGTTATGTTAAAAATAAGTTTATTGGTATTACGATTTCCTTGTACAAACGATTCAATTTTTCCGATATGTTTATTATCTTGCGTTATGATATTTTGGATAAATGGAATATAACTATTGCATATGGCATTCGTAAATATTTCAGTTTTCTTTTGAATAAAAGATATATTTTTGGTTTTTTCTTTATGACAAGAAGACAAACTTGATTTTATAAATTGAAAATCATTCAAGTCTTTTGGATTATAAGTTTTGACAATCATATTGTCAATATGAATTGATTCATAATTTAGTCTTAGAGGTGTTTGTGTACGAAATAAATATTTATCTTTTAATATAATTAATGAAGTATGTATGCTAGATGTATTAGTAATAAGAGATTTGCGTAGAATATCGAAATAGCAATGTGATTTCGTTTGTTGAAATGGGTAGTTAGACGTAGTAGTTAATGGATTATTTGAACCAATCTTAATAGAGTCGTACAAACGAAATTGTTGATTTTTACAATAAACATGTAAATCAACTGAGAGTGACCATTGATCATTTTTCTTTCGAACAATAAGATGAGCAATATCGGCAACGCTAACTTCTTTATTTAATATGAAACAGTTTGAGCAGTTTGTTCGAAGTTTAGTAATGTGTGGGGATAATAATGAAACTAAATTTTCAATAGAGATTGTTTTTGAATCAATAGTTAATTTTAAAGATAAGCATTCATGTTTTGCAATAGCAAACAGTAAAGAATGGAATATTGTTTTTAGATAAAATTTTAATGTTTGTGTATTTTGAAATAATACTGTTGGATTTGCATGAATAAAATGATAGGACATTTTTGATGGAGTTGAACTAAATAAGAAAAAAGGAATTATTAATAAATCGGTTATTTTATTCTTTAATATACATTCATTTGTTAGAATAGTTTTTACTTTGAACAAATCTTCTCAAATATTTTATATACATCTAAAATCATCCTCATAGTCTTACCATTTTTTTTCTACAAATACTATCATTTACTTTTCTGACGTTTTATGTAAAAGTAATCGTATATTAATTATTTTATATTCACTATATATTAGAGCAATGCAAACATAACATACATACGCATTTAAAATGAGAAATTGATTTAATATAGATGATAAAGTAATTTCGGTAGTAATAGGCAATTGAGATAGACTATTTAAATAGAAGTATAGTACTTTTAAGCAAGATATAATAGCTCTGTAACAATCAACAGAAGAATTGTTCTCTAATAAATACTCAAAATCAATATAAGTTTTTATAAAATTATTTTCACAAATGCATTCATAAATAGCTCGGTTAGTTTTCGAGGAAAGTACATATATAAGTTCTAATTCATCCAAAGTTAATTGACAATATTCTCGGCTATGATTTAATTTCTCTATTGATAATAATATTGTTTCTCCGTTCTCATTATTTGACATTGAATTCAAAAGTTCTTGTAATCGATAAAATATCTTTTTGTTAGGAAGAACATCTTCAATTAATTTCCGAATACTGGACATTGTATGATGTGAGAATTTCGAAGGACAATTTATTATGAAATATAATTAATAAGACAAAATCTTATAAAATTTTATTATCATAGCTGTTACTAAGGAAAAATAAAAATATTTCTTTAATATAGTTATTTTATTTCATTCAAAAATCAATTTTTTTAAGCATTTAAACAAAAATCTAGTTTATATATATTGCTACATTGAAAAAAATTAATATTTTGTAATCTAGTACAGTTTTGTTAATTTTATTTGAACAAGGAGGAAGTGAATATATTTTATGATTTTTTGATTTTATATGTTCACTCAACAGTTATTAACGTATTAGCCATCGATGATAAATATTTATTTCCTAAAATAGAATAAAATAAATGTTTATTTCATATAAAACGATTTATTTAATCATAGAAAAAAAATTGGGACTTTAATGTTTGCATGTAGTGATATTGAGTTTAAAAATGCTACTTGATTTTCATAAAAATATGTTAATTGATAAATGTTTTTTTTTTATAACGTATTTTTCAATATACATATTTTATAGAGAAAGCTTGTACTTTTGAAACTCACCATTGTACCATTTTACTTTTATATATTTGCATTTTATCATTTTTCGTGCAAGTGATTCATTATTAAATCTTGCCTATCAAAAAAAAATATTTTAGTATAACATAGAATACGATGGTTTAGGTTAGAATTGTTCAAACGAACAAAATTATTGATTTATTTAACAATAATAAGAATCATGTAATTAGATTACATACTTGCTGATTCCATAAAGAAAGTCGACATTCATGACTACCGTCGAGTATATGTAATTCTCTTTCAGTCCAAGAACGATTGTTCGATATTCCTGTACTGATTCCATAATCTCGAATGACCCGACATTGTATATCTATAATGATAACTCATATAGTTTTGGAAATAATTTTTTTTCAAATTTTTCATAATTAAATAGAAATTTGTTTTATACAATTCATAATTGAATTATTTTGTATGCTATAATCATATACAAAACAAGAATATTTATAACCTAAAATTTTCTTCAACTATGGCAAAAAACATGAATGACATTTTTTTTTGTAATCGGTTTTGTTAAATACTGCAGAGAATGATAGCTTATTATATTATTTATATAAACTTTTGGATTTTTTAAATACATCTTATCTTATATATAAATATCAATGACTCATGGATTTCTTTTACACAATTTGACATGATTTAAAACAATCGAAAAAAATAGACATACTAACAATGACAATATTCAGTGTAGTAAATTAGAATCTGTGTGAATAATCGAACTTGTAGTATCGTTTTCAAATATTTTTGTTGTTATTATTTTAAAATGGATTTTGATATCAACTAAAAATAACATAAGCTTACCAACTACTCTATTTATATCAGTTGAATTTAAATCTTCTAGTTTAAGAAAAATGTATGGTGTTGGTGGTGTAACATAGAAAGGTATCATTTCGACGACTGTTGTTTTAGTTGTACTTGTAAGTTGATATTGATTTGGTAAAGTTTTATAATTTTTGTTCGCTGTTCTTACACATAAATCAGTTATTTCATATGACTAAAATATAGAACTTATTGTTTATATTTTTGTTTTCTTTCTACAAAAAGAATTATACAAAAACGAATGATATGCTAATACTAATCAATTTACAAAACATGGTAATTAAAACTTACTTTATCTTTTTGTATACGTGGTTCGATTAATCGAGAAGATAAGTTGAAGCATATAACTGTAATTTCCCCAGTATTATCTCTTATATCAAATGAGAATATTTCACCATCACCATACTCATTATTAAATTGTCGAACATCATATTTAAATGAAACATTGCCATGTATTTTCCATCTGATAAAATTAAACAATAGAATTATTATTTTAAAAATCCATCTAATTTAAAACATTACCGTGTATTTAAATCAAAATCGATATTATTTATATCAATTAATGTTGCTTCAGATGTACCATCACCTTTTTATCGTGAAACGTTTTTAGAAAACAAATAATATTATAAAATAAAATAAAGATTTTAGACACATCAAGAAAAAATGTTATCTATTTCATAACTCATTGTTCTCATTAAAAAAATTCATTGACTATTCTATAAATCGATGTTATTATTTTTTTTATACGAATTTTTTTGTTTTTAGCAAATCTGTTTTAAGAATAGAACAATGACCAATACGTAACAAAGCCATTCTTGTATGTAATCGCTCTTATCAAATTCAGAGAAATGAGGCATTTAGGAAAGCATAAGATAAATTCTAATGTAAAAAGACATTTTAAGTAATAATTTCGGAACAATCTACAGGGTGTTACATAACCTTTACGCCCCCCTCTACAACTTAAACTATAAATGATACCCACAAAGTATTTTATACCAAATTAAAGCGCATCGAAAACTGCATCTATCGGTACTAAATAGTGAAGGTTATGAAAA